AGAGCGCAAAAATGGTCTGAAGCTCAACATCAAAAAAAAAAAAAAAGAACTAAGACCATGGCCACTGGTCCCATCACCTCCTGGCAAATAGAAAGGGAAGATATGGAGGCAGTGGGAGATTTTACTTTCCTGGGCTCTATGATCACTGCAGATGGTGACAACAGCCACGAAATTAAAAGACGCCTGCTTCTTGGGAGAAAAGGGATGACAAACCTAGACACCATCTTAAAAAGCAGAGACATCACCTTGCCAACAAAAGTCTACATATTCAAAGCTTTTTCCTGTCGTGATGTATAGAAGTGAGAGCTGGACCATAAAGAAAGCTGACCGCCGAAGAATTGATGCCTTTGAATTATGGTGCTGGAGTAGGCTCTTGAGAGTCCCCTGGACTGCAAGGAGAACAAACCTATCCATTCTGAAGGAAATCAACCCTGAGTGCTCACTGGAATGACAGATCCTGAAGCTGAAGCTCCAATACTTTGGCGATCTGATGAAAAGAGAAGACTCTCTGGAAAAGACCCTGATGTTGGGAAAGTGTGAAGGCAAGAGGAGAAGGGGACAACAGAGGATGAGATGGTTGGACAGTGTCATCAAACCTACCAACATGAATTTGACCCAACTCTCGGAGGCAATGGACGAGAGGAAGGCGTGGTGTGCTCTGGTCCATGGGGTCATGAAGAGTTGGACACAACTACTTGACTACTAAATCTCATGAGTTTGGGAGGTTTTTTCCTTACAGACCATCATAAAGGCTGACTGGAGATTTAAGTCAGGATCTCCAGTCATCATTCGATAAGATTAGATGAAACTTTATTACGGTCAAGACCAGCCACAAATAAAATACCGAAATATATAAATATATGGAAGTATACAAAAATATTGGGATCAAATGCAAATACAGTACAATACTCGGTTCTAAGATGAACACAAGCATGATTGATACACACACTCGCATCATTTAGGGATTGTAGAGGGAAGGCACTCTGCACATGCCCAGAGGCCCCATTTTCTTCCAGTGCTCTCCTGCCATCATATACTGTACAGATCTTCCTTATTGGTGCTACCCAATACTGTACCCAACTCCCTCGTTTATTACTTTCTCCCTCAGCCGGCTGCCTTTCTGGAAGCTCCAGCAGGTGGAGCTCGCGGTTCTCCATCTTTGCCCAGCCGGAATCAGCAAGGGGGAGACGGAGCGCCCGGGCTTGTTTCGCTGCGCCTGGGCCTGGTTGCAGGCTAGCAAGCTGGAGGGGCAAAGATTCAAGGCAGCTGGAGTGGGAAAGGAGCTGGCTGGCCAGGTACGAGGGGGGATCTGGGGCCCTTTCGTCAGGGGAGGGGGAAATACAGGGGATCGGGCCCCAGGCACAATGGAGGAGCCCTCTAGAAGAGTTGGGGCTGGGCATCAATGGCACAGTCTATAAAAGTAAGCATCATGTTGACCCCCCAGAACCACCTTGCCATACTGTTGTTTTGCATTTATTGCATGATCTATTGGGTGCACTCATTTATGTGTCTTGAAGAATAGGATGGGAGTTTTTTGTTCTGAGACAAATCAGATTTCTCTAACTTAAATGGATCCGTTTGTACACATAGTAAGGCGGGCTATTTTTATTTTTGATATAGTTGGGAACTTTGGGAGAGTTTTCACTGGCTTTTCCATTCAAAGACATAACACATGAACCCTTTCACGTCATGGATCCCCAGATCCTCTTTTATAAGAACTCTTCTCCAAAACCACATTACTGTACATATCTTTCGCTGCTTTGGGTCTATATGCAAAGGCAGGGGCAGCCGCACAAGGAAAGCTATTATTGGTAGTTTTCAAACAAGGCTGGGAAGCTCTGGCCCTCCAAGATTTTGTTAACTTCTAGTCCCATCAGCCTCCGCTAGCCTGACCAATGTTGGGAGATGATGGGAGTAGGATTTCATCAACATCTGCATTGCCATAGATTCCCCAAATTTATAGAGAGTTTCTCCAACACCATTTAATCCCATGTCAAAGTATTCTGCTGTTCCTTTAAAAAAAAATTATATACTTTTTTTATTTTTAGGTCTATTTTCCTTTGAAGACTGGCAAGGCACCTCAGTTCACACAGAAAGTCTCTGCTTTGCTAGGTACAGTATTGGTTTTATCACTGTATGCTATAATTGCCAGTGGATATTGGATCACTACAGCTGGAGTATAAGAGCTTCCAAGTACAGTATATTAAATCTATCAAATATTCTACCAGCTTCTTTTGAATACCAAATCTAATTATTTGTTAGAATATAATGTATACTATATTTCTGGTTCTCAGCAATGTTCTAGCAAATGCTGAAAAATACTTAGATCTGTGGATTTTCAGTAGTGAATGAGACCCAGCTTCTTTTGCACCGATGGTAATTCTGCTCAGAATGCCCCAACCCTTGAAAAAAAAAGTATGGAAGCAATGTTGCCAGTTTTCCCCTCTGCATGCTGCGGTGTTCTCTCCCTGACAGTAGTGAAGGGTCCATCAACCCTATGAGAGTAGATTTTGGGGTGAGATAGAAAGGGAACAAAAAATCTCTCTACCCCCTTGCTGTGCTAGCAGAAATCATAGGCTACATTGGAAGCCTTCTGTGGACAGAAGGAAACCCTTCCAACTTGTACATAAGGAAGGCCATGGATCCAGTCCAGTGTTTACATAGCACTTTCGAATGTTCAAGACAAAATGGAAAAGTATGTCTTTCAAGAAGATATGGAAAAACATCTCTTCCAGACAAGAGCAGATCAAAGGGAAGGTGTCTAACAGAGGCTCGTCTGCCATTGTAACACTGTGGGTTTAATAACTGCAACACTGCGCTGAAGTAAATCTCATGGGGATCGCTGGGGCACACTGCCAGATGAGCATGCACAGAGTTGATCTGCAAGTCCCACTGATTTCAGTGAAAGTAAGTGTATCTACTTACCTGGAAGTCCTATATTTACTTACCTGGAAGTAAGTGTCAACGAATGTACAGTAGTGGAACTTCTAAGCAGACAAGGATAGAATTTAATGTAGTGCTCAACTTCCAAAGCAACACTGTACAGCTCTGCTCAGTAGTAGATACGGAGTTTTAGCCTGAGATGGGAAGGCTAGTGTGCACGGCCTACTCCTTTGTAGAACTATTGCTTTGTCCTATTCAAGCCTCGTACCTGAATAAGGCTATACTTCATGACTGATCTCACTGTTTTCTTTTATAATGTACTTGGCAGTGCTACGTTTCTCACCGGCACCATGGGGGACCTAGGCTTGGGCCAGGAGTTCCACACTTGGCACCAGTTCAGCATGTTTTTTGACGACTGGTGTGAAAAGCACAAGGTCCTCTTCATCATTGCTAGCCTGAAGCCGCTGATCTCCATGCGCCAGAACCCACCGTACTATCAGCCCAGCCTGGCTGAGACGCTCCGTTTCCGTTTCGTACGGCTCATCTGCAAGCACAGTGGGACCTACGTGGGGCAAAGCACGGTGCAACGAAACCGCCTGTAAGTCAGTGTTGTGATTTCTGTAACCAGCACCATCTTTACGCTTTGCACTTTCCAAAGTCCAAGAGCATCTATTCTTCCTTATTGAACTTACAGATTTAAATTCACCACCAAAGAAATAATTAAAGGTGGAGAGGTGCGGCTAACTGGGGAGCAATATGTACAGTAGGATCACTATATCCACGAGATCAATACCCAGAGTTTCACTTAACCGCTACCTGAAAATAAAATTAAAAACCCGAGAAATGTGTGTTTCTATATATATAGGGTTCACTTATCCACAATCCCCAGAATCTACAGAGGGGATGGGCTTAGAACTGATCTCCTATGGATGTGTGCTCCTACTGAATTATTGAGGATGGGAAGTGGGGATGAGAACTGGGAGCCAGAAACTTCATGGAAATGCAGATGCGCTACTTGAGAAGGAATTTGAAGGAACTAATACCTGTGGTAGCTGACAGGTAGGTAGTCAAGGATTTGGGTCTAAAGATGTGGAATACCGAAGGCAGAAAGGACAGAGTCACTTGAACAAATCTTTTTCACCTCAAAAGCCAAACTCAGTTTTAACCATATTGGGGAGGAGTTGCATTCTCTCTATGTTAAACCAGATGTGGATGCCAAAATTTGAACCAAACAGTACCAAAACTGTTTATAATAAATAAAATATACTCTCGGTGTTTCAAAGTTTGCATGTTCCTACTTTTGACTCCAAAAAGCCAAGTAGCTTTGAATCTTAACAATAAACATAAATCACAAAAATATTTTTATTATTATAGTATAGATCTATGGTTAAAGTATGATCATACTTTAGAACAGTGGTTCTTAACCTTGGGTTACTCCGGTGTTTTTGAACTGCAACTCCCAGAAACCCCAGTCAGCACAGCTGGTGGTGAAGGCTTCTGGGAGTTGCAGTCCAAAAATACCTGAGTAACCCAAGGTTAAGAACCACTGCAGAAAAACATCTTATTACATAACCATTGAGGGTAAATGAAATAATGCAACCTTATATATAATTGAAAAAGGAATATACTGTATGGCTGTGTACTAAAATAATGCCTGGCTAAACCAAGCTCTATCATGGTGTCTTGTCTTTGTTCCTGATGCTAGATTTTAAAATCCTCTCCTTTTATACAGACGTCCCTTTTGATTTCATTTGACCTGTTCATCAAAGGCCTAGATCTCATTATTCTTAATTTCATTTTCCTTTCTTCCTGGCCCTTCTTCCTTCAAGCCCTGCTCCATGCATGCCACTTGCTTTTAGTGGATCAGATGCTGTCACTCCTTGCGTAGATGAATTTGAATTTTGCCTTTTTTTGCCTTCCTCTTTCGAATCCACATTTTCAGCTGATCACATAGACTTAGTTTTGTTTCAAAGTTACTACCCAGGATGGAAGTTCTTCCAGTTTTAGCTGCACTGCCTATGTTTTGAAGCTGACGGTATTCCTTGCTGTGCCCCATGTTTTGGCCTTCTTCTGAACTGGGGAGATCTCTCCCTCCGGTCATTCTACACGTCTTTCGGGTCCCTGGCGTGATTAATGGTCTGCCGCCCATACACTGTTCCTTCGGAGATTTTTCTCTTGCTTGAGTTCTTATTTTTTCTTTCCGCTTCTTGGCAGTTGACTGATTACAACCTTCTGGTATTATTGCCTCACATCCATTTACCAAGATCTCTGATTCCTGCCCAGGAGCTGAAACATTCTTTTGCTCCTGGTGCTTCTCTCTCCAAACATACTTTCCTCTTCTTCCACTGTGCCTCCATAGTTCCAGTCCATCCTGTAGATGCAGTTTTCTTTCTACAATGCTACCAATGATGGACATTCTTTCTCTTGCCTCTACATCATATACATTATGAGGTTGGTAGCCTTCTCCCTTCAGCTCCTCGGGTCTGACTTCTTCTGACCCGTGGACCTCTCCTCCTCCAGTTACTGAAATCACCTGGCTGAGGCCATGTTTCATTAATGGCCCTTTGTCACTTTTGGAGGCTGTTTCTCCCAGACTTTTGTAGGGGTTTGTACTCCAGTCTAGTTTGCTTCCTTTTCTTCGTAACCTCCTTCCCATTTTTTTCTTTTGCTGCCTCCTTTTTTGGCCATAATGTCTGGCCACAATGTCCTCATAGGAAGAATGGGATTCAACAACATGAGATGACTGCATAGAGGAACCCCAAGCTTCTTCCTGGTAAACAACGGTGTTGTATTGTTCTACCATGTCTTCTTCTTTCAGTGTCAGGGAAGAAGGCTCACTGGTTTCCTGCTCTGTTTGTCCTTCTGAGGATGATGGAGAACTGTGGGATTCACTCTCCGTTGACCAGTGAGAAGAGCCTTCCTGCACTTCATTTGTTGTAGTGAGTGTGTGGAATTCGTCGTGCTCTGAGGGAAGAAAAGAGAAAGCAGGCTCCATGCCTTCTGCTGAACCAGAGTTATGAAGCCTGTTGCCCTCAGATGGTAGAGAGCAGGAGCTTTCTTCCAACTCCTTTGAGAAAGCAGCTTTAAGAGATTCATAGTCCCCTGAGGAAAGAGACAAGAAACAATTTGTTGAGCCAGGGTTATGCGGCCCACTCTCTTCTGATGGCAAAGAAGAAGAAGAGGTTTCTTCTTCCTGTTTCATAGGCAGCCCCCACAGGAAGGCTAAATTCTTATGCTTCACATTCAACTCCATAACATCTCTAGTAGCTGGTGGCAGAAAGAGCATGGAGAGATTTCTGCTTGAGGGAGATTTCTGCCCAACACGGACCAGCTTGGGGAGAGGTTTCCCTTCTCTGCTACGGACTTCTCTCTGAGAATCGACCAACGGATTAGGGAGAAGCAGGTGCTTGATCTGTTGGCCTTTTCTCCTGAGGTGGCTGTCCAAGTCCTCCTTCTTCTTTGGGGCAGCGCAAACGGTGTGCCTTCCCCTTGCATGGGACTTTTTAGCTTCTTTGGTGCCGAACTCTACTTTTCCCTCATAAGTGGGTGGAAGTTCCTTTCTCAAGGGAGGAGGTGGAAGGAAGAGCTTCAGGGAGTCCAGAACTCTCCCAGGCAAACCCCATCTCCTCTGCAGCTTGATCCTCTGAATGTGGAAATCAAGGTGGGCCCTGATGTCCTGAGGAAGGAAAAAAATCTCTGGAGGCAGCACCTCGATCTCCACCATCGTCTTGCAAAGACCAGGCACAGTGGGTGCTTCTGACAGAAAGCCTTGGATTGAACGCTGCACAAGAGCAGGGTATCCCCACAAATGTTGTATCCTTTTCTTCTGGAGATGTTGTTCCAAACCCTCTCGGGTCTTCCTGTGGAGGAACGGTGTGCTGGCTTCTGAAAATTCACAAACAGCCCTTTGGACAGGAGGGAAGGACACCCTGGATGTAAGCCCACCAAGGGCCTCCACATAGCGTGTCCCAAGTCCCCACAGGCAGGCTATGTGGTTGCGATGCAAGGCAAAATCAATCTTATCTGTTTCCTGGGGGCTCAACGAGAGAGAGGAGTTGCGAGGTCTCAGTGGCTGGACACCGGAATCAATAAGCTTTGGGAGATGTTGCCTGGATGAGAAGGAGGCACGTTTCCAGGAGAGTCTGAAGACACTTGGAAGAGCATCCAGTTTCACCTCCAAACTTTTCTTGCTTAGGTGGAGCTGAACTCTCTCCAAACTCTTGGCTTCTACCATGGGGTACCTCTGAGATAGATGAAGGGCAGTCACCTTTCCCCTTTCCAGAAGACGCACAGCTGGGGTCCTCCTTTGGCCAACTTTGTTGGAGATCCTCTTCTGATCCAAAGAGGCTATTTGACTGGGCTTCTTGGTCTTAAACGGTGGATGGAGACTCTTCAGGGATTCGAGAACACGTCCAGGCAATCCCCACAGGCGCTGCAGTTTCATTTTCTGTATGTGTAGTTCCAGATGGTTATGGACCTCTCGGGGAAGGAAAAATAGTTCCTGCACCTGGATGTCAACAAAGACTTCTCCCATTTTTGTGAACGGCAGAGAAGATGGCTCACCCACAAAGCTCTGGAGTGACCTTTGCATAACGATGGGTAAGCCCCACGTGTGCCCAATTTTCTTCTTTAGAACATGACGTTCTAAAGCTTCTCTATCAACATCTGGCAGGAATTTCACAGATGCTTCTAAGAATACAGACATTCTTCCTTTCTGTTGGAAAGGCTGGGACAGAGGTTTGAAAGTTATCCTTTTAATGGCTTCGACGTAGCGGGTGCCTAGCTCCCAAAAGGAAGCCAAGTGGTTCCTCTTGACTGTCATTTCCATCCTGTCCATATCCTGTCTGCATGCAAATGGCAGTAATGATCTGCGAGGCAGCAAAGGCTTCTGTCCTGCAAGGATCATCTTGGGGAGACGTTCTCTTCCAAAGGTGCAGCTCCAGGAAGTTCTAATAGCCAAGGGGAAAACCTCCAACTGGATTTCCAAGCATTTCTTCACCAAGTGGGACTGCAGCATCATCTGAGTCTTAGCCTGTAACAAGGAAACCGGTGGTGTGACTTGAGCTGCTTTTCTTCGGATCTTCTTGACACTCTGCCTCTTGTGCGGCGCACCCGTGCTCCAGGTCTCCTCTGGTCTCCTAGGGCCAAACCCATATTTTGCGTACAGTAATCTGGTAGCCTCAAGGACTCTTTTGGGCAGCAGCCACTGGTGATGGATCTGTCTCCTCTGCATGTTTCTCTCAAGCTCTCGTTTAGTGGCACGACTGAGGAAGGTGAGGGTGGCTGAGGAAACGGCCACCTCTTTGTACCGTCTGTTCTGCAGGGGATGGAGAGGGGTGATGGGCAGAAGGTGTTGAATGGATTTCTGAATGATGCCTGGCAGGCCCCAGGTGTGGTGTATGACTTTTCTTTTCAAATGCCACTCTAAAGCGTCTCTAGATTTCTGAGTAAGAAACGGAGTCTCTTTTTCGGAGAAGACTAACATGGCAGGCTTCCTCCTGGGATGGCTTGTGGGAGCTGGCGGTGTTGTACCACGAAAAAGCCGGGCAAGGGACTTATTCAAGATGGTGGGCACCCCCCATCTGTAGGTCAGATTTT